TCTAAGTTTGTAAACTTCAAACTTTACTAAGTTCCAAGCTTGCAAAGTTCAAGCTTCACCAAGTTCCAAGCTTCACCAAGTTCCAAGCTTGCAAAGTTCAAGCTTCACCTAGTTCCAAGCTTGCAAAGTTCAAGCTTCACCAAGTTCTAAGCTTGCAAAGTTCAAGTTTCACCAAGTTCCAAGCTTGCAAAGTTCAAGTTTTACCAAATTCCAAGCTTGCAAAGTTCAAGTTTCACCAAGTTCTGAGCTTCCAAGTTCAAGTTTCACCAAGTTCTGATCTTGCAAAGTTGAAGTTTCACCAAGTTCCAAGCTTGCAAAGTTCAAGTTTCACCAAGTTTCAAGCACTAAAAGTTAAAAGCTTTCAAAGTTCCAATCACCTCAAGTTCCAACCTCCCTAAGTTCCAAACTTCTCAAGTTCCAAGTTCCCCAAGTCCTAAGCTCCCCAAGCTCCAAGCTTTCCAAGTTCCAAGCTTCCCAAGCTCCAAGCTCCTCAAGTTCCAAGCTCCTCAAATTCCAAGCTCCTCAAGTCCTAAGCTTCTCAAGTTCCAAGCTCTCCAAGTTCCAAGCTCCCAAAGTTCTAAGCTCCTCAAGTTTCAAGTTCCCCAAGTTCCAAGCTCCTCAAGTTTCAAGCTTTCCAAGTTCCAAGCTTCCCAAGCTCCAAGCTTCCCAAGCTCCAAGCTCCTCAAGTTCCAAGCTCCCCAAGTTCTAAACTCCTCAAGTTTCAAGCTCCCCAAGTTCCAAGCTACCTAAGTTGCAAGCTCTCCAAGTGTCAAGCTTCTCAAGTTCCAAGCTCTCCAAATCCTAAGCTCACCAAGTTTCAAGCTCCCCAAGTTCCAAGCTCCTAAGTTCAAAGCTCCTCGAGTTCTATCCTCTTCAAATTCCAAACTGCACAAATTGTATATTTACAAGTTCCAAATCCCTCAAGTTGTAGGTTCTCTTAATTTTTAAGTTGCTAAGTTTACATTCCCAAATTCGAAGTTTTCCAAGATCGAAGTTTTCTAATTGTAAGTTCCAAACCCACTAAGTTTTGAATCTCGCAAGTTCAAAGTCTAAGGTCAATCTCCAAGTGCTAGGTCCAGGGTCAATCTCAAAATTCAAGGTCCAAGGTCAACCTCCAAGTTCCAAGTTCTTCAAATACTAAACTCTCCAAGTTACAAACTCTCAAGTTCACATATGTCCAATTCCCAAGCTCACAAGCTACAGATTTACCCAAATTCCCTCTGAAATCCATCTTCAAATAATCAGACCTCCTCAAATATTGTCGATAAAATGATAAGCAAACACAAGGTCAAGTATCCTGATTTCCCCTCGATAACACAAATGATCAAACGATGACCGAATCAGGATTTTTCAGCTCCGATAAGGGTCCGATTTGACTTGGAAATAACGGCTGCTATGCGGATCAATTGTTCTACTAGAACTAGGCCAATGAATACGAGGGATGACAGAGAATCTGCATTCATAGGGTCTCGTACGAGTTACAGCTTCCTCGTTTGTCATCGTCGTATTCGGCCGAATTAGACCGTTGGACCTCGGTACAATTAGTCTGTAGCATTGAAATTCTACGAGCCTTCTCTCGGATTCTTTGAGAGTTACGAATTCACAGTTTCGCGTGTTAACTCGTTTTAGCAAAGTTCTGTTGGCTTCGTTAGAGAAACTACTATGTGGATGCGTTTATTAAGGTGCGAACTTGCTAATTGAACGTCGGTGAAATTATGGCTACTACATTTTGTGTTATGAATTTTTGAGCAGTGATTAAAGCAACTTCCTGGATACCTTTTTTATTTGGGAACATGTATGAAGTGCATGTAGAAATTGCGGAGGTTTGTAATTTGTTTGGGGTGTCTAATTTGGTTGGGTGGGTTATTTGTGTGGATGTATGTCTGACTATTTGGGTAGATATTAATGTGGACATTTAGGTGGATGGTAGTCTAGGTGTTTGACTATCAGCTTATTTGGACAGTTGTCCAGCTAGTTGATCAGCTACATGACTGACTACTTATCTAGTTGTTAGTGTGGACACTTATCTGGATACCTGCCTAGGTGTTTGCTTATTAACTTATTTGGACACTTGTCCAGCTAGTGGATCAGTTACATGACTGACTACTTATCTAGTTGTTAGTGTGGACACTTATCTGGATACCTGCCTAGGTGTTTGCTTACCAACTTATTTGGACACTTGTCCAGTTAGTGGATCAGCTACATGACTGACTACTTGCCTATTCACTTAGCCTGGTCAGCCACTAACTATTCAGTTAGTTGTCTAATTATATAGCTCTGATAGTTGTTTGACTACTCATCTAGCTGTTAGTGTGGACATTTATCTGGATACCTAGGTGTTTGCTTACCAACTTATTTGGACACCTGTCCAGCTAGGTGATCAGCTACATGACTGACTACTTGGCTAGTCACTTAGTCTGGTCAGCCACTAACTATTCAGTTAGTTGTCTAATTACATAGCTCTGATAGTTGTCTGACTACTTACCTAGCTGTTAGTGTGGACACTTATCTGGATACCTTCCTAGGTGTTTGCTTACCAACTTATTTGGACATCTGTCCAGTTAGTGGATCAGCTACATGACTGACTACTTGACTAGTCACTTAATCTGGTCAGCTACTAACTATTCAGTTAGCTGTCTAATTATATAACTCTGATAGTTGCCTAACTACTTATCTATCTAGCTATTTATCTGGACACTTATCTGAAGAGTTGTCTGGACACTTGTCTTGGTACCTGTCTGGACATTTGCATAGACATCTAGCACCTTGTTTAAACATCTGTCTATCTAGTTGCCTAACTGTTTGATTATTTGTGTATTTAGCCATCCACATAGTTGTCTACCTATCTACTAGTCTGACTACCTGCCTGGTTAGTTGTTTAGCTATCTACTGGTTTCACTATCTGCCTGGTTAGTTGTCTAGCTATCTACTGGTCTGACTACCTGCCTGGTTAGTTGTTTAACTATCTACTGGTTTGACTGTCTGCCTGGTTAATTGTCTAGCTATCTACTGGTTTGACTACCTGCCTGGTTAGTTGTCTAGCTATCTACTGGTCTGACTACCTGCCTGGTTAGTTGTCTAGCTATCTACTGGTTTGACTACCTGCCTAGCTACTTGTCTGGCTACCTGTCTAATTAATCTAGTTACCTAGCAACTGGTCTAGCTATTTGTATAGTTGCTGGTCCACTTGTCTAGCCATTTATCAGACTACATGTCTATCTACTTGTCTAGCCACTTATCAAACTACATGTGTATTTAAATAGATAGGCTACTTGTCTACCTACTTGTCCACGTGTACCACTTAGTTGTCTCTTTATCTATCCACCTGTCTGGCAACTTGTCTAACAACTTCTTTACTGACTTATCTAATACGATCACTAGTATTAATCAGCAAATATTCAGCATTATGAATCAGCGTTTACATAATTAAGAAATATTGCATCGTCATGACATAATTGAGACATCCTGTAACATCTTCATGCACGATCTTCCTATAATAGTATTTCGTCGACTTAGAGAGCAATCTACATTCATTAAAAAGATAATTAGAGATCGTTAATTACTATTCATTCGAGACACAAAGTAAGAATTCACCAAAGTTAAATTACTTTATTTTGCAAACATTTCCAATTCAAATGACGATAGACGTTAACGACTTCGTTCTCGTCGGAAAACAATTTGCCCAAAATTTCGCGGTCTCGTTCGAGGTAACAATCAGTTGATGGAATTCGCTGGAGACTTGTTTCGACGACAAAAAAATGAAAGAGAATAAAAGTGCACGTATGCTCGTGGCGTAATTCTTTCTGTTAGGCAAATGTTACGCTCGCGCGCGGACGTGAATCGCATTCATGACTCAGGTGCAAACGCGATGCACATTCCGTTTTTGTTACGTGCCTGTCATATGTAATGGCACTTGCTCGATTGTTACTTTATTACTATTACTCTCGCACCTATGCATTGATTTTCAATATTCTTTTATTATTTTATATCAGTTACCGCTATAAAATGAAATGGATATGTACTATTTATTCATGTATTCTATATTAACAAGCTTGGTATTCACTGCACCGCATATCATCAAGCTTGGTACCATCTACATTATGTATTACCACGCTTGGTATTTGCTATGTCTCATATTATCACGCTTGGTACTCTTTCTATAACATATCACCATGCTTGGAGCTCTTCCTATAGCATATTACCACGCTTGGTACTCTTCTTATAGCATATCACCACGCTTGGTACGCTCTCTATAGCATATCACCACGCTTAGTAATTGTTACGCCCCTATCACCACGCTTGGTATTCGCCATAACCCAAATCACCACGCTTGATACTCGCTATAACCTAAATCACCACGCTTGGTACTCGCTGCAACCCAATTCACCACGCTTGGTATTTGCTACGCCCCATATTACCACGCTTGGTACTCCGTGCAAGCCAAATCACCACGCTTGGTATTTGCTACGCCCCATATCACCACGCTTGGTACTCGCTGTGCCCCATCTCACCACGCTTGGTACTCGCTATAACCTAAATCACCACGCTTGGTACTCGCTGCAACCCAATTCACCACGCTTGGTATTTGCTACGCCCCATATCACCACGCTTGGTATTTGCTACGCCCCGTATCACCACGCTTGGTATTCTCTACACCCCATATCACCACGCTTGGTACTCGCTACAATCCAAATCACCACGCTTGGTACTCGCTACAACCCAAATCACCACGCTTGGTATTGTCTACTCCCCAAATCACCACGCTTGGTATTGTCTACTCCCCAAATAACCACGCTTGACACTTCCGACGCCCCATATCATATCCCAGCTCATATTATTATACACAGTACAGCGCATATCCACACCGTACATAATCATACAGTACCTCCCTCATCACCATAGCGACACCTCACATCTCTCCAGCACAGATTGTCCACTTCAACATTCCTATCTCTGGCAATACGAGCTCCCGAACTAATCTAAACTGCTGCTTGTTTCAGACACAACGCAATCGACGAAGAGTCGCCAGGGTCCATCTCCAAGTCGCTGACAGCCTCCTCGGACTCGAGGGACCTGAACCTGCCACTGGACACTTCCGGAAACATAGTCTTTCCATTAGACTCGGGCACGTCCACCGATCAGTTCGCGCCACTTCGGAAGCTCGAAGGAAAGAAAGGCCTTTTCAAAGAAGCCGTTCGATTGCGACACTCGACCATAGCGGAGCCTTCGAATTTGAGAGGTCGAGATTCCGAACGGAGATCCAGGTGCTTTCAGGAGGACCTCTCTAGGAAGTTACCGAGTCTGACCAGTCCGAAGGAGCCGGAACCAGAGAAACCGACCGATTTCGAGAAGGTTACAATCAAATTGCCTGTTCTTCGAGAGTCGACGCTTTTGAAGTCCAGCGACCGAGAGGACTCCTCCAGGATTCCGTCCAGCCCTGAAGACACCTCCGACCAGGAGATCGTCGAGGTTCGCAAGGACAGCGCCCTGTTCCTGGAGGAGGCGGAAGGACTACCCGCTCTTAGGGAGATCCTGAAGTCGAGGGCACCACGGGTCATCAGACCCAGAAGAGAGAGCAGCGGGTACGCGAGCAACCTGGGCACTTTCGACGAGGACAGACGGAACTCGTCGTCCGTGGACGTCCTGCAGGACCTGTCCTCGTTCCTGAAGGAGAGACGGAGATCCTCCGTGGGGCCTAAACGTCTGAACAGAGCCCTCATTAGCAGGACCGAGGACTTGACGGAGGTGGACCCTGAAGAGAGGATGCCTACCACGGAGATTCACAGGAAGGTGTCGGGTGCTGGGCTCGAGATGCCCAACATCGAGGAGGTGAAGGAGCTGCTGAGGGACGATGTGCCTTCTAGGCAGGAGAGTCTGGATAACCTGTGCAGTCTGATGACGCAGGTCAGCACAGGTAAGTGATATCCTAAGTTATAATGTTTGTTAATCTCTTCAAGAAATACAAAGTCTTTATCTTTGACAGAGGAGCTGACACGCTGTCGTCTTCTGGGCGACCCAATGGACGCCCACGTCACAAAGGACTCGGAGGTGGCCGCAATATGCAGGCAGCCAGATGTGTCCTCGGGCGGTCTCGACGTCTCGTTCAACGAGTCGATCAGTCGTCTCTCGACGTCTCCGTCTTCAAGAAGTACATCAAATCGATTCCCTTCACCCTGCCTGGACAACGGGTCTAAGATCGAGCAGCTGAGGCCTATCGAGGATAAATCGATCAACGAGTCTCAGACCAAAGACTCTGTCCAGAAAGAGGACAGGTTCAGTGTTCTTCCACGATCGATCAAAATGTACCGATTAATGTCCACCCAGTCGGAGGACAGGATAGACGGCGAGCTGGACAGGAGGATATCCTTCCAGATGACTAAGCAGGACGTCACGGGTTCCGGGAAGGAGTCCAGGGATTCGTCTTCCCGATCACCGAGTCGAGCCACGAACGTCTCGATGCTGAAGAGCAGCGTCTCCAGCGATATACAAGCGTTGAACGAAGACGCGGACGATTCATCTGTCAGGACAGTTTGCTCAGGGGAGGTGGGGACGAGCCAGAGGTTCCTCGGGGACACATCCAACGTGACAGTCAGACCCATTTATCCTTACTGCCCTTATTCGCCCTACGGCAGCCCGCAGGGATCGCCCAGAAACAGGAGGAGACCCCTCAGGGAGAGCAGGAGGGTCTCCATTGATAATAGGCAAGGGGCTTTGCAGCTCAACCAGTATAAGCTGCTGGATAACATTGGCCAGGTGAGATGCCTGTCGTGCAGCTTTTTCAAAATGGGTAGGATTGCCTTGGTGCAAATTTAATCTGATCTGAGAATTTAATGTGAGAATTCGATTTCTGATCTTAAAAATTCCTGACAACTAAAATTTATGAATTAAAAGTTTCTAAATTATAAGGGTTGCTAAGTCTTGTTAGTCTCAAGATTTTATAGGTAATGTGTAAATGAAAACTCACGAGTCAGAAAACATTGAAAGGCACGGGGGATGGTTTTCCACTTCGATGGACGCCCAAGTGGCAGTAATTCGATCCGCAATTTGAAAAGAACGAATCGAACGTCACCGTGAAAGTACGATACTTTTTCCTCCTTTTTGGCTGAGACAAGTTGAGTTCGTTCCGCAAGAAAGTTTCGAAGTTAGGTGGGTTTCCACCCCCGTCACCCCCTGCTAATTTTCGCGACGTTCTTGCTGGATGAAGTAGTTCTACGTGAACGGAATTCTGCAACGTGTTATTGATTGAATCGCGATATCGTGGCGAGCTACTTACAATTACTAACATCCCCATACACAGAGGGAAGTCACTAAAAATTAATAAATGTAAAATATTCATAATTCTTTAAAAAATAATTTAATGCAAAATTTAAAGGATACGATAAAAAGTAAGGTGAATTTTAGGGGTGGAATATGTGAAAAGCGTATTTGGTTACAGGGTTCCTACGGGATCGTAAAGTTGGCGTACAACGAGGAGGACGACACCCACTACGCAATGAAGATTCTCAGTAAGAAGAAGCTGATGAAGAAAGCTGGAATTTTCGGTAGAATGGCGCCCGGTAGGAAGGGTGCAGCCAACCCTTTGGCGAAGGTCTACCGGGAAATTGCTTTGTTGAAGAAATTGGATCACCCTAATGTTGTGAAACTGGTGGAGGTGCTCGACGACCCGGACGAAGACAATCTTTACCTTGTTTTCGAACTGGTCCAGAGGGGTGAAATTCTTCAGATACCGACGGACAAACCCCTCGACGAAGAAACCGCCAGGAAGAACTTTCGTGACGTTGTAATGGGAGTGGAATATCGTACGTTATAATTGTACTCTTTCAATAATTGTCTCTTTTTTTAAGCCATGAACTTTTGAGAAAATCAATTTTTGTAATTGTTGTAAGTTTGAGTCGATTGGAAGTAGAAAGGTGATCAGACTGTAAGAATGATTTAGGTCTTCATAATTTTCATGACATAAAAGCATCACAAAATGGCACTTATGATACATCAAATTAAAGCTGAAAGTTCATAGAACATGTCTGCACTCGTGGCTCATAATTATTTTCAATACAAAATGGCTGACAACTTTTGTAAGACAAGTAGTCTTATATTGAATGTACAGCTCGTCTCAAAATAAGTCTCACACACTTTCATGACATAAAAGCATCACAGAATGGCACTTATGATACATCAAATTAAAGCTGAAAGTTCATAGAACATGTCTGCACTCATAGCTCATAATTATTTTTAACACAAATTGACTGACAACTTTTGTAAGACAAGTAGTTTTATATTGAATGTACAGCTCGTTTCAAAATAAGTCTCACAAAATTTCATGACATAAAAGCATCACAAAATGGCACTTATGATACATCAAATTAAAGCTGAAAGTTTATAGAATATGTCTGCACTCATGGCTCATAATTATTTTTAACACAGAACGACTGACAACAGTTGTAAGACAAGTAGTTTTATATTGAATGTACAGCTCGTCTCAAAATAAGTCGCCTACAATTTCATGACATAAAAGCATCACAAAATGCCACTTATGATACATCAAATTAAAGCTGAAAGTTCACAGAACATGTCTACACTCATGGCTCATAATTATTTTCAATACAAAATGGCTGACAACAGTTGTAAGACAAGTAGTTTCATATTGAATGTACAGCTCGTTTCAAAATAAGTCTCATCAAATTTCATTAAACTTGAACGTATTATTTTTGCAGTGCACTACCAGAGAATAGTCCATCGCGATATAAAGCCGAGTAACTTGTTGGTGGACAGTGACGGCCGCATCAAGGTCGCGGATCTGGGTGTCAGCGCTGAGCTGAGAGCTTCCGGTGAATTATTATCCGGACCAGCTGGTACCCCGGCATTCGCGGCACCAGAAACGACCACACCTGGCGCCCATTATTCCGGAACTGTAAGTAGCATCGCCGAGATATAATATCCACGGGTTGTTCGGCCCACCGGCCGATCGATTTTCCATTTCACGCGAACGCTGAAGAATTATGACGCGGCTCGTTCGATCGTTTGATGTCTTCATACTACTCTTCCAACTGTTACAAATTCTTAAATATTCCTCTAACACGATTTTACAGAATATTTTAACAAGACTGAACTTTATTGTCAATTATGGCAAGTTTAATTTTTAACTGGGTTAAGTTAGACCTTCACAGTGTTAAAAATTCAGAATCTTTAAACACAAATGACACAGAGTCAAAGAATGTAACGCTGATGTAAACTTTTATTACGATGTTAAAATTATAGCGATGATCACGTTCAAAAATATAGCTGCGAAGCAGGTAACATTTCAGTTGAAATTTATAAAACATTCTGTTGAACACTAACGATAAAAATGCGTCGCATACCTCAAATCCTGTTCGGGAGGCCTTCATCGAAATCCTGTTAGCGCGCCGTCAAAAATTCCTTTTACTGTACGCATTGAAAAACGTTGTAATAACCGTAATTAATATTCATGAGCAGCAGAGCTCTGTTGATCAAAGAGTTAATCGATTCACGATGTGTCCTCTTCCACCGTCAAATTACGTTCCCGAAAAATAGGGTAACTGGAACCGATCGTCGATTTGCATGTTCATAAATATTCACTCTGTGTACATGTCCGATAACGGCGTTAATAGAATTCATCAAAAATTCAAGCAAATTCTTTATCCGAAATTTCGACAGGCTCGAAAGTAACGGTGATATATCGCGTGGTCGTAATCGGACGATCTGGCAGTCGATAGGGTCAGGGTCGAGTCGTGATGAACGGTGAACTAACAAATCCACGTTCCTTATCGAAAAGTTTGAGGGCACGTTTAACGTGTACACACGCGAAGAAACGGAACGCGTCACCGGAAACGAGCCGCGTCGCTCGCGAGCTGGCATCGATTTCTCGCGGGCTCGTGAAATATGCAGGTGAACTTGAAGCACAAAAACTTGTATCTTAGAGGGAATCGGGTTAATGCTCGTTTTTTATAGACTGGTGTTCGCGAGTCGGCTGGGGATATATTGCCGCTTCGTATATCACCGCAGATTACAACTATTTTGTATATTCTAGCGTACTGTACTGTAGGACGCACTATTTCAATTCTTTGAGCTTCAATATTGTTCTATATTTACTCTATAACTACTCTATTTTTGCTCTTTATTTTACTCTACAAGTGCTCTATACTTGCTCTATATTTTGCTCTATAAGTACTCTATATTTGTTCTATAATTGCTCTATATTTTACTCTACAAGGACTCTATATTTGCTCTATAATTGCTCTATAATTACTCTATATTTTACTCTTCAAGTGGTCTATATTTGCTCTAAATTTGCCAAATATTTGCTCTATAATTACTCTATATTTTACTCTTCAAGTGGTCTATATTTGCTCTAAACTTGCCAAATATTTGCTCTATAATTACTCTAAATTTTACTCTATAAGAGCTCTATAATTACTCTATATTTTACTCTATAAATGCTCTAAACTTGCTCTAGAACTTACTCTATATTTGCTCTAAACTTGCTATATATTTGCTCCATAATTGCTCTATATTTTGCTCTATAACTGCTCTATGATTGCTCTATATTTTCTCCGTACTCTCTCTAGAATTGCTCTAAAAGTGCTATAAAATTGCTCTAGAATTGCTCTAAAATTGCTCTAGACTAGCTCTAAAATAGCTCTAACCCACATCCAAACAAAAAATTAATCACAACAACTAAACTTAATCAACCAAATGCATATCATGTTCCAGTTATGCGACGTGTGGTCAATGGGAGTGACCCTCTACTCCCTCGTAACCGGAAGAGTACCCTGGGACGGCGCCGGAAGTATAATCGGCGTCCAAGCCGCAGTGCGTACCGAACCCCTAAAATTCCCCGAGAAACCAGTCCTCTCTGACAGTCTCCGCGAATTGATCTCAAAGATGTTGGCCAAAGACCCCTCCAATCGTATCAGCCTATCAGAAATAAAAGAAGATCCATGGCTGACGAACAACGGTGCCGAACCTCTACCCAGCGAAGCCGACAACTGTCGACTTCCGGTGACCGTCACCGACGAGGAGGTTGAACGGGTCGTCACCAGGATACCAAAGCTCGACACTCTGATCCTCATCAAAACCATGCTGAAGCAGCACAGCTTCCAGGTGAGATTCCGCTCGATTTTGCATCGAAGTTCGAAGTTTGACCGCGAATCGAGAACGTCAATTATCGGTATCCGATAAACGATAGGTTTAACGGAGTGGTCGAAGTTCTGGATGAACTTCGTGTCGGGATTTAATTAATAGAGTAGTTTTCGGATCTTTTGATAATGCGTTCCGCGATTGTGGAGTTGGGTGAGTGATTTGGGAGAATGGGAGATTTGGGTCAAGGTGCAGGGTCGAGATTATTGGGGCGGGAAATCGATGGTCTTAGTTATCGGAGATTTCCTGTTTGGGAGTTATGGGTGATGGAATGTGATTTATGGACTTTGGGAGTTGGAGGAGTTTGGTGGTTTGGGGATAGGGTGTAGGGATATGGGGGTGTAGGGGTTGGGGTGTGGAGAGGTGGGGATGTGGAAGTAGGATGATCTGGGAATTTGGGGGTGTAGGGGTTTGGGGATGTGAGAATTTGGGGATATAGGGATTTAGGGGTGTGGGAATTTGGGGATGTGGGAATTTGGAGATGTGGGAATTTGGGGGTGTGTAAATTTGGGGATATGGAAATTTGAGGATGTGGGAATTTGGTGATGTAGGGATTTGGGAAGGTGGGAATTTGGAGATGTGGGAGTTTGGGAATGTGGGAATTTGGGAATGTGGGAATATGGGGATGTGGGAATTTGGGGATGTGGGAATTTGGGGATATGGGAACTTGGGGATGTGGGAATTTGGGGGTGTGGGAATTTGGAAAT